AAACAGGCAAATAGTACCATCCGGAACATACCCCTTAAAAACGTTTAATAATGCAGAAGTAAATCACTTTTCCCAGGGAAAGTTACCAAAACCGGGAGGTATGTCCATCCCGGTAGCTCCTTTTTGGAGAGGGGAAAACCACGCTGCTCAGACCTTTGGCAACGCTATCCATCCTTTTTGGGTCAATAAACAAAAAAAGGAGACTTAACCATTCTAGTTTAAGTACCTTTAGCAGTTACCCCCCTGGGCATTCCATCACAAACAGTACTACCCCCGGGGGAAGGGACCCAATTAGCAGGTCCCTATGGAGCAGTAAAATCCTGGGGAAACTTACTACCGGGGGGAAAGTCCAAATCTTCTTTGGCAGAAATAATTGTAGAGACCTCCTCACATTTTTCCTGGGGCAGAAAATGGCAGGGACAGTTTTAAACCTTGCGGAGGAAATTTTGGTAAGAGTAAATGAATCCAGGGATCTTGGTATGATGTTGTCTCTGGCGATAAATTTGATCTGAAATTAATTTAAAGTTTAAATTTCATGTTAAAACAGGCATTTATCGAGTCCATCTTCCGAATTCAAATACTGTTGACGAATTTTGCCCTATTTTTTTGCAGCATTACAAGGGATTATACCCTGCAGAGGATAACTTTCCTTTACTCGGTATTCCTTGATTCTGATTAAAATGTTTTGAAAATTAACTTTTCTGGGTTTTAGGACAAACTTTTGCATGCTTCTCTGTTAATTTACCCCCCTTCATCTCTAAAATACAGATGAGTTTGAAACTGTAATGGCACCCTCAAGGAACCCTTTGCAGTTTCGAGTCGCGCGGAAAAGCCAGGAATTACAGAGGGTCCCTAGAGAAGTAGGAGACTTTTTGTCCTTTTCGTTGCATTTTAAAAGCAATCCATGGTCAGTTTCAAGAAAAAATAAGGAAGAAAAAGTTTGGATTTCTTTTAAATGTCTGAGAGCCGCCTGGGTGTTGTCTAGAGCTGAATGTTGAACCTGGAGAATGAGGACCCGCACCGTTTGACGCCATAAAAACGATTAGAGAAAACCTAAAAAAAAAAACACGCACGTTTCGGCTGGAGACCAAGGGGAAAGATCAAAAATTTGTGACAAATAAGGGAAAAACAACCTTTTATAAACATGTTAACAAAATACAAACATTTCATTTTAAAAAATCCTTTAAAGGGGGGAATATCGGTTTAACACTAACAGGATCAACTGGGCTGGAACAAGGAAGATATAGGTGGTTCGGTTAGCCCAATGTTAAGGAGTGGAAGCTGCTAACTTGAGGGACCAACGGTAGGTTAAAGAACAAAACTACGGCAGAAACAAGCTGTAAGGGGCAACGTGACCCCGGTACTTTAACACACCCATCTGCATGCCCCTTTCCTTAATTTTATTTTGCCCTTTTTCAAAAAAATTTCCTTGCAATTGTCAGCAACTCAACCCCCCTGCGGGAAAACAGAGGAACCCAATACTAAAAAGGCAAGAAACAGAAACAGGAACAACAGAGAACTCCCCAAAAAACACATTTTACCCCATTAAAAAGCCCTTTTAGTTTTGTGATGCCCGGGATTGGAACCGGTCACGGAAGTAGTAGTCCGGAAATGGTTGAGAGGAAGGGAAAAAACTCACAAAAGATTTTGGGGGAAATTTTTTTCCCTAGCCAGGACGGCACTGAGTGGCGAGCCCATGGGTAGACCAAAAGTCTGTCGAAAGAGGTGATTTTCGAAAGAGAAACACGTAAAGCCGACACATAGTTCAACGATAAGGATAACTGAAAACCACTGAAATCTAATCCAACCTGAAATTCAACGCCCATATCCAACACACAACAAAAATAGTATCTAAAACAGTTGGCATCCTTTCAGAGATATGTTACTATGTACCACAAACAACAGTACTTGAACTACACTATTCACTGATCTACCTCTACCTCACCTATGCTATTTGTGCCTGGGGATCCACAACCACAAATCACCTAAAGTCAATAATAATCCAGCAAAAAGCTGCAGTGTGAATGATCACACAATCCACAGCTAGACAACACTTCTCCCTCCTTCCTCCCTCAAGGGACATTCCTTGATGCTGGTGAGGGGCTCTTGATCTAGGGAATTGGATCTGTGCTCCAGTTCCCTGAATTGAGCCTAAATGCCTTCCATCCCCCCACATGTGCTGTATAATCCTACAGGTTTAGTGCTTCCCTGTGATTATAATAATAATCTCCCTCCTTCCCCCCACCTTTCCAAAGACTTAAATTTACTCACTATACAAAACATTCACTCGTATGACTGTGCAACCTACATTTGCAGAACAATCGATTCCCATATAAATCCTGACCTGAAGAAATTTCTTGGCAGTTGCAATAGAACCCATGGACACAATACTATGCACAAAAATCTCTATGACATTCCTCTTATCAGGCTGAATCTTTTAAAAAACTCAATGTGCATAAAAGGACCCAAAAATCTGGAACTCTGCCAGAAATCTCCAGAACCACCGACTCATCATTTTTAAAACTACAGTTAGAAAACATCTTATCTACTTAACCTATCCCAACCCATCGTAAATACATAAGTAAAAACTACACGTGTATTTGCTCAATATTGTGAACATATGTAAAACATTATAATCAGTATATTCTTACTCTCAATATCAATATCTGTAATCCTCTCAAATGTTAATTATTCTATTGTGTCCACCTTAGGTTAATAATCAAAACTGTAATTCTTCTCTACCAAACTTATTAAAGTCATATAGCATGAACTAACAGAATACGGTGGACCCCCGGTTTACGATCAGCTCCCAATGCAACCAATTATGTAAGTGTATTTATGTAAGTGCGTTTGTACATGTATGTTTGGGGGTCTGAAATGGACTAATCTAATTCACAATATTCCTTATGGGAACAAATTCGTTCAGTAATGGCACCTGAACATACTTCTGGAATGAAATAATATCGTAAGCCGGGGGTCCACTGTATACAGTTTTCTTGTATTCATTGTAACTCGCCTAATGACCGTATGTGCAACTATTGCACTGTTATTGTCTTGTTAATCTGAAGTTAGTGTTAAGTTTGCCCGAAATGCTCAGCATATAAAGGGAGTTTTGGCATGTACATACAATTGTTATACTCCTTCGTACAAATATGTATCATGCTAAAATAAAAATAATTATTATGGATATGGAGGCTCTACTGTACTTCCTCTTCAACCTGGGAGGCCTAATCTGAGACTAGGCCTTGGAGAAGAGGCCTGGTTACAGATCAGGGGAAGATACAGTGAACCCTTGTTTTAACGAACTGCTAGGGAAGATAACAGGTGGCTGCTGATTGCAGTTGTGGTGGAATAGTCGAGATTGTTCTGCTGTGTAATGGAACCCCCTTATCCATGGTTTTGGTTTCCACGGTTTCAAATATCCACAGTTTACCGTGGCCCAAAAATAATCCTTAACTTTGCTTAATAATGTCACCAAAGCACAATAGTAGTGATAGTGGCAGTTCTTCAGAACCTAAGAGAAGCCATAAAGTACTTCCCATCAGTGAAAAAGTGCTAATCCTCCACTTATCATGTGTAATTTATCAATTAAACTTTGTAGTAGGTATGTACGTAAACAAAAAAAATGGCTTATAGGGTTCGCTACTATCCGCAGTTTCTGATATCCACGGTAAGTCTTTGATTACAGTGGACCCCCGCATAACGATGGCATCACATAGCGATTTTTCCGCATAACGATTACTTTTATCGCAAAATTTTTGCCCCGCATACCGATTAAAAACCCGCTTACCGATTTTCGTCCGAGACGCGTCCAATGTGCCCTCAGCCAGCCTCACATGTGCCGCCCCGTCCCATTGTTTACCAGCCAGCCTCCGCGGTAACATCCAAGCATACACTCGGAATATTTCGTATTATTACAGTATTTTCGGTGCTGTTTCTGGAAAATAAGTGACCATGGGCCCCAAGAAAGCTTCTAGTGCCAACCCTGTGGTAAAAAGGGTGAGAATTAGTATGGAAATTAAGAAAGATTTTGAAGGGTTTGGGGCTAACCCTGAGAAGCCTATGCCAGTTGTGGAATCCATTGTGCCTACTTCAAAGATTAAGGAAATGTGTGCACAGTGGGTTGAACTGCAAACCTTTATAGATGAAAATCACCCTGACACAGCTGTTGCAAGCCGTGCTGGTGACTATTTCAATGACAATGTTGTGGCCCATTTTAGACAAATCGTAAAGGAACGGGAGGTACAGAGCTCTATGGACAGATTTGTTGTGCGACAGAGGTCCAGTGACTCTCAAGCTGGTCCTAGTGGCATTAAAAGAAGGAGGGAAGTAACCCCGGAAAAGGACTTGCTACCTCAAGTCGTAATGGAAGGGGATTCCCCTTCTAAACAGTAAGAAGATAATGCTCTCCCCTCCTCCCATCCCATCAATCATCACCAGATCTTCAATAAAAGTAAGTGTCATTTAATTGTGCATGCCTTTTTCAGTTTGTGTGTATTAAAATTAACATTTCATGTGGTAAAAAAAATTTTTTTTCATACTTTTGGGCGTCTTGCACGGATTAATTTGATTTCCATTATTTCTTATGGGGAAAATTCATTCGCATAACGATTATTTCGCATAACGATGAGCCCTCTTGCACGGATTAAAATCGTTAACCGGGGGTCCACTGTATTATTATAATCAAAAGAAAGTGTTAAATGTACTAGGGTAAGGTAGGTCTTGGAAGGTATCATCTCCACTTGGATACGGGGGGACTACTGTATAACAATAATGAACAATTCTGTAACCAAACAGACTTTGTTTCTTAGTAGGTTAATCCATTGGATTTTTGTTGCTATATCTGAAGTCCACAATATCAAGGACCATTATATCCAGGTTTTACTGTACTCCCCAGAGCCAATAAAAGTGATATTGTATTTTTTTACTTTTTAATTAGGAATTTAGGCCTTCCCAACACATCACATAGAGCCTATATTACCTTGTTTTCTCTCTTCTAGCCTCCGTTCACTGCTGAGAATCGAAAAAAGACAATAGAGAAGATATTAAAAGGCAAGTTGAACCTTCCGCCTTATGTTACCCCAGACGCACGTGACCTCATCAGAAAACTGCTCAAGGTAATGCCACAATTATCTTGTATGGGGTTGCGACCTCTTGTATGCTGGATATTCTGTTGTAGTGTATGGTGAATATCAGTGACTTATATATATCGAGTAATATTCTGTTGTAATATACAGAGAATATCAGTGACTTGTCTATATAAAGTAATACAGCCTTTCCTCAATGACAGAGTTGCATTCCTAAGACCATGTCTGTAAACAAATTCGTTGCTAAGTGAGGAGCATACTATAGTGTGAATAACAAACGTCATCAAGGCTTTGCATTACAGCCTCCCCTCACTTCACGATGGAGTTCCATTCCTAAGATCACGTTGGTAAATGAATTTGTCGTTAAGTGAGGAGCATACTATAATGGTAGTGGGTTTGTGTCAACCATCTTCGATATTGTTTTAATGTCACCTTTGTACCAATTATAACATTTCTGGTATATGTATTTTTAAATGTTTATACAGTAGTGTACTGTATATTGTAATAAACAAAATAGAGGAAATAAACTCTAATATACATTATTTAGGTATGAATACTGGTCAGTGAGCCCGTCGTAAGTCTGAGTCGTCAGTAAACGAGTACGTTGCTAAGTAAGGAGAGGCTGTATTCTCTTGTAATATATAGTGAATATCAGTGATACCTTGGGTAGCATTGAAAACAGAGTGAGTGATGGTGAAAGCGTTTCTTCTACTTCGGCGCAAGACAGCCGCCGCCTTGGAAAAGTATTTCCCCCCCACAAACTTGTGTGCTTTTTTCGCAGCGTCAATGATGCTCACTCTTTTTCCGTTTCCACAGCGGCAGGTGAGCCAGCGGCTGGGCAGCGGACCAGACGACAGCGAGCCCATCAAGCGCAACCTCTTCTTCAAACATATCAACTGGGACGACGTCATCAACCGCAAGCTGGAGCCTCCGTTTAAACCCGTCCTGGTGCGTCCTCTATTGTTGTTTGTGTTTTATTTTTGTGTTTTTTTTTAATTTTTGTTTTATTTTTGGGTTTTATTTTTTGTTCTTTATTGTTTTTTATTATATTTTTTATTATCACACTGGCCGATTCCCACCAAGGCAGGGTGGCCCGAAAAAGAAAAACTTTCACCATCATTCACTCCATCACTGTCTTGCCAGAAGGGTGCTTTACACTACAGTTTTTAAACTGCAACATTAACACCCCTCCTTCAGAGTGCAGGCACTGTACTTCCCATCTCCAGGACTCAAGTCCGGCCTGCCGGTTTCCCTGAATCCCTTCATAAATGTTACTTTGCTCACACTCCAACAGCACGTCAAGTATTAAAAACCATTTGTCTCCATTCACTCCTATCAAACACGCTCACGCATGCCTGCTGGAAGTCCAAGCCCCTCGCACACAAAACCTCCTTTACCCCCTCCCTCCAACCCTTCTTAGGCCGACCCCTACCCCGCCTTCCTTCCACTACAGACTGATACACTCTTGAAGTTATTCTGTTTCGCTCCATTCTCTCTACATGTCCGAACCACCTCAACAACCCTTTATTGTTTTATTCTATAGAATTTAACTCTGTCAGTGTTAGTCCCATTGTATCAGGGTTTTTAAGTCATTGTCAGTCCTGTAAAATAACAGCATGATCTCAACTTGCTCAGATAAGCTGTGAGCAGTAAATTTGAGCCTAGATATGAGCGAATATGTCTGTGGTAAGTGTGCACCACATAAAAAAAAAAATTCCAGCAGCATGCAGTGAACGAGAAAAAAAAATGCGACCTTGATTTTGGTGTAAATCCGCAACTCTGCGGTATGTATTCGTTTGGTTTTTATGGTCGTATTCTCTGTTGCTTGGTCTCGTTTGATAGGATGGAAGATATATTACATAAATAGAGATGATTTTGATAAGTTTCTAGACTGACAGTAGCTTGAAATAGAGCTCAAAGAAGTGGAAGTCTTTGATTTTTGCCAATATTCCAGTGTACACAAATATCACTTGTCCAATACACGTCCAACTGGACACTCTAATACGCATTTAGGAATGCACTGACATTATTTATGCAATTATTACAATAAAGCAGTAGTCTGCATAACAGTAATTCTTTTATTTTTTGTGTGGAGAAAAATTCAAAATGAAAAGCAGCATAATACAGTGGACCCCCGGTTAACGATATTTTTTCACTCCAGAAGTATGTTCAGGTGCCAGTACTGAACGAATTTGTTCCCATAAAGAATATTGTGAAGTAGATTAGTCCATTTCAGACCCCCCAAACATACACGTACAAATGCACTTACATAAATACACTTACATAATTGGTCGCATTCGGAGGTGATCGCTATGCGGGGGTCCACTGTATAAGAGGAGCCTCGAAATGTGACTAAGAAACAGAGGAAATGTTTACTTAGTGCCAGGGGTATCTACAGTGTTTATTCTGGACCCTATTTTCAGATTGGCAGTTGCTGAATTTTGTCTGAAATTGGCCAAATTACCAATTTCTTATCACTATGTTGTGTAGCTGAAATAGTTAAATGGGTGGTTTCTTGTACTCAGTCAATACAAGGAATACTAGTGAAACAGCTGAGTTTGGTGGACTGGAACAATGGAATTGGCTAAAAATAGAGTGTAAAGTGACCAAAACTGCCACTGCACAAATATCGCCGAGAACGCTAACTTTGCGAGAGCATAATTCCATAAGTTTCCCATCAAATTAAGTACTTTTGGTTTCATTACCTTCGGAAAAGGATTCTCTATCATTTCATAAGAATTTTTTTTTTTTTTTTTAAATTCTTTGACCCTGAGAGCAAGTTTCTGAGAAGGGGTCACGACACTGAAAGGGTCAACATAAAGGGGGCACAATCAGTGTTTTAATGATTGGGAAGGTTACAGATATTGAGAATAAGATTACAGTGGACCCCCGGTTAACGATATTTTTTCACTCCAGAAGTATGTTCAGGTGCCAGTACTGACCGAATTTGTTCCCATAAGAAATATTGTGAAGTAGATTAGTCCATTTCAGACCCCCAAACATACACGTACAAACGCACTTACATAAATACACTTACATAATTGGTCGCATTCGGAGGTAATCGTTATGCGGGGGTCCACTGTATATTGTTTTATATATATTCATGACATTGAAAATATGGATATGTGGTTTTCACACACAGTAATGAGCCCTATACAGCCTCTCCTCACTTAACGACAGAGTTCGGTTCTTAACCCTTTCAGGGTCCGTCCCGTAGATCTACGGCTTTATGTTCGGGGTCCAAACCGTAGATCTACGCCATGAGCTCAGCTCACTCTGATAAACTGTGAGTGGTACATTTGGGCCTAGATATGAGAGAATACATCTATGTGGTATGTGTGCACCACATAAAACAGATCCTGCAGCACACTGTGTATAATGAGAGAAAAAAAATTAAATCATGATTTTTCGATTAAAACAGCGACTTTGCAGTGTTTTTTCGTATGTTTTTTATAGTTGTATTTGCGATTTCTTGGTCTCATTTGATAGAATGGAAGACATATTACAGAAATAGAGATGATTTTGATTGGTTTTAGCACTGGAAATGGCTTGAAACTGAGCTCAAATTAGCAGAAATGTTAAATTTTTGCCGATATTCAAGAGTAAACAAACGACCTCACACGTCTAATACACGTCAGCTGGTGGGTCTAATATACATTCACAAATATGGTGATGATATATATACAATTATTACAGTATTGCATAACAGTAAATCTTCTATTTTTTGGTGTGAATAAAAATTCATTATGTGAATAAAAAATTAAAATGGAATTTATTTGTAAAGCCTCAAAACATAACTAATGAACAGAGGAAATGTTAGTTTAGTGCCAGGAATGCCTACATTGTTCATTCTGGACCCTATTTTGAAATTGGAATATTATGAACTTTGTGTTAAATTGGCCAAATTAACAATTTCCGATCACTTTATTTTGTAGTTGAAACAGTTGACTTGGCAATTTCTTGTGCTCAATCGATAGAATAGAAGTAATACTAGTGAAATAGCTAAGAATTTGGTTGATTGGAATAATGTAATTGGCCTAAAATGGGAGTCAAAGTCGGCAAAATCGCCGATTCGTAAATATCGCTGACACATCAAAATTTGCGAGAGCATAATTTCGTCAATTTTCCACCAAATTTCGTACTTTTTGTTTTATTACCTTCACAAAAAGATTCTCTACGATTTCATAAGAAAAAATAACAAATTTTTTTTTTGAAAATTCTTGGACACTGGTGCGTGACTCCAGATTTGGGCCTTGGACCCTGAAAGGGTTAAGACCACATCGGTAAACGAATTCGTCACTAAGTGAGGAACATACTATAATGGTAGTGGGTATATGTCAGCCATCTTTGATATTGTTTTAATGTCACCTTTGTACCATTTATAATATTTCTGGTATAATTTTAAATGTTTATACAGTAGTGTACTGTATATTGTAATAAACAGAATAGAGGAAATCAGCTCTACGTACATTATTTAGGTATGATTACTGGTCAAAGAACCCGTCGTAAGTCCGAGTCGTTGGTAAATGAGTATGTTGCTAAGTGAGGAGAGACTGTATATAAGTTGTTTTTCATTTTATATACAGTGGTACCCCGAGTTTTGGCGATAATTCGTTCCAGAAGACTGTTCCAGTGCTGATACCGAACGAATTTGTTCTCATAAGGAATAATGTAAATTAGATTAGTCCGTTTCAGACCCCCAAAAATACACTTACAATAGCACTTGCAAAAATACACTTACATAATTGTTTGAGTCGAGAGCTGTATGAAACTCAGGGTACCACTGTATATACTTATAAAGTTTAATTGATAAATTACAATAAGTGGAGGATTATCACTTTTTCACTGATGGGAAACACTTACGGCTTCTCTTCGGCTCTGAAGAACTCCCACCGTCACTATTTTTGCACTTTGGGGCCATTATTAAGCGAAATTAAGGGTTATTTTCAGACCATGTTAAACCACGGATAACTGAAACCGTGGATACCAAACCCACAGATATGGAGGTCCGTCGTTGTCTTCTTTCAACAAAACGGCTGTATCCCACCAAGGCAGGGTGGCCCAAAAAAGAAAACTGAAAGTTTCTCTCTCTAAATTTAGTAATTTATACAGGAGAAGGGGTTACTAGCCCCTTGCTCCCGGCATTTTAGTAGCCTCTTACAACACGCAAGGCTTACGGAGGAAGAATTCCGTTCCACTCCCCCATGGAGGTAAGAGGAAATAAACAAGAACAAGAACTAGTAAGAAAATAGAAAAAAACCCAGAGGGGTGTGTATATATATGCCTGTACATGTATGTGTAGTGTGACCTAAGTGTAAGTAGAAGTAGCAAGACATACCTGAAATCTTGCATGTTTCTGAGACAGAAAAATGGACACCAGCATTCCTACCATCATGTAAAACAATTACAGGCTTCCATTTTACACTCACTTGGCAGGACGGTAGTACCTCCCTGGGTGGTTGCTGTCTACCAACCTACTACCACAGGACTGTAGTACCTCCCTGGGTGGTTGCTGTCTACCAACCTACTACCACAGGACTGTAGTACCTCCCTGGGTGGTTGCTGTCTACCAACCTACTACCATTGGACAGTAGTACCTCCCTGGGTGGTTGCTGTCTACCAACCTACTACCATTGGACAGTAGTACCTCCCTGGGTGGTTGCTGTCTACCAACCTACTACCACAGGATGGTAGTACCTCCCTGGGTGGTTGCTGTCTACCAACCTACTACCACAGGACGGTAGTACCTCCCTGGGTGGTTGCTGTCTACCAACCTACTACCACAGGACTGTAGTACCTCCCTGGGTGGTTGCTGTCTACCAACCTACTACCACAGGACTGTAGTACCTCCCTGGGTGGTTGCTGTCTACCAACCTACTACCACAGGATGGTAGTACCTCCCTGGGTGGTTGCTGTCTACCAACCTACTACCACAGGACTGTAGTACCTCCCTGGGTGGTTGCTGTCTACCAACCTACTACTATGGTCCAACTGTGATCATTAACCCTTAAACTGTCCAAACATACATCTACGTTTATGTGCGTAGCACTCCAAACGTAGATCTACTTTTTTTTACATATGAAAGCATGTAAAATAAAACATAGATCTACTTTCGGAGCACGACGCACATGAATGTAGATCTACGTTTGGACAGTTTAAGGGATAAAATAGACTCGATAAAAGCCACATAGCATGAGCTTAACTTTGCCCAAAATGCTCAACATATTAAGATGTGTTCTGCATGCATACCTAAATGTTATTCACCTCTGTACAAACATCGCAGCATGCTGAAATAAAGAATTTTTAATCTTTAGTCACGTGCAGAAGTGTGTAGGTAGGGAGCCACTTTCCATTACACTATACAGTGGACCCTCGCCAAACGAACGCATCGCATAACGTTAAATTCGCCTAACGATACATTTTAACGCAACTTTTGCCTTGGCTAACGCTAAAAAACTCGCCTAACGATATTCGTTCTCGGGTACCAATTAATATCGTTAGGTGAGGGTCCACTGTATGTACTGGCTCCCTACCTTCGCACTTGTGTGTGACCAGTCAATAATTAGTATAAATGTGAAATTAAGCCATATGGTAGGTCCATGTAAGAGCCATGACGGCAGATCACCCCACATCTTGACTCGAGGTGCTGAGGCATTCATTACCCACGACAGCTGTTAGCTTAATGACCAGAGCAAAACATCACCATGAGTTTCTCCTACGTGCGGGTTGTGTGTATTGTTCCCCTCGTGACATTCTGCCATTTTATTCGTCGTAATAATATGTTGTGTAAGCGTAAACACAGGAAACATACACTCAGTAATAACCCACCTGGAGACAGAAACACAGGAGGTTACTGTATTTCATGGCATTGAAGCCACTATTATTTTCCCAAAATATGTTTTGCAAATTTACTTAACATCTTGGAGGCCGAAGTACCATTTTTTTTTTTCCGAAATTTAGCCAAACAGAATTGGGGGCCATCCTCGACACCAGAGCATCTTGTTCGCCATAAAACGCGGTAATTGACCTGTATATTTCGACCCCCTTCTGGGGTCCTCTTCACTGGCTTATTATTGAGCATTGACAAGTGTTCATTACACTTAAGTTATTCATAGTTAACATACGCTTGTCATTTCTCGTGACAGAGTGGTGAGGACGACGTCAGTCAGTTCGACAGCAAGTTTACCAAACAGACGCCAGTTGACTCACCCGATGACAACATGCTGAGTGAGAGTGCTAACATGGTCTTCGAGGTAAGTCTGAGAGGCAACTATTATCATAGTTAACCCGTAAACGGTCCAAACGTATATATACGTTTTTTCAACATTTGAAAGTATGTAAAAAATGTAGATCATCTTTTTGTTTTTTTACATTTGAAAATGTGTAAAAAAAACTTTGATCTACTTTTTTTTTTTTTTTGTTATACAGTGGTCCCTCACTTTTCGTAGTTCTCGGCAATCGTAAATTTCACCAATCATAGGGGTATTTTCGTATAAACATGGACTTGCTTTTCATAGGTTGACTCGCGAATAGTAGTTCGTCCAGGACGCTTACGCACGGTGTGAGCCGGGGCGGCCTCCCTACCCAGCCAGTCTGGCATTGTTTACCAGTGAGTGAAGGTCCCCCTCAAGTGCTCCTACGAAATATTTCATAATATTCCACTCATTTTAGTGCTTCTTCTTCTTTCTTTCAACAAACTTGCCGTATCCCACCGAGGCGGGGTGGCCCAAAAGAAAAAACTAAAGTTTCTCTTTTTAAATTTAGTAATATATACAGGAGAAGGGGTTACTAGCCCCTTGCTCCCGGCATTTTAGTCGCCTCTTACAACACGCATGGCTTACGGAGGAAGAATTCTGTTCCACTTCCCCATGGAGGTAAGAGGAAATAAACAAGAACAAGAACTAGAAAGAAAATAGAAGAAAACCCAGAGGGGTGTGTGTGCGTATATATATGCTTGTACATGTATGTGTAGTGTGACCTAAATGCAAGTAGAAGTAGCAAGACGTACCTGAAATCTTGCATGTTTATGAGACAGACAAAAGACACCAGCAATCCTACCATCATGTAAAACAATTACAGGCTTTCGTTTTACACTCACTTGGCAGGACGGTAGTACCTCCCTGGGTGGTTGCTGTTTACCAACCTACTACCTAGATTTTAGTGCTTACAAGTACTAAATAAGCTACCATGGCTCCAAAGAAAGCTCCTAGTGCCAAGCCTGTGGTAAAGAAGGTGAGAAATATGTACAGTGACAAAGTATTGGGCCATTTTCGGGAAGTGTTAAAGAGACGCCAGAAACAGAGCTCTCTCCACAGTTACTTTGCGAGACAAGACTAGAGTGACTCTCAAGGTGGTCCTAGTGGCATTAAGAAACAGAGAAGAGAAGCAACCCCAGAGAAGCAATTGGTACCTGAGGTGTTGCTGGAAGGGGATTCCCCTTCCAAACTGTAAACAATCCACTCTCTCTCCTCCTCCAGTCTCCCATACACTAAGAAGAACCTCCAATAAAGGTAAGTGTTATGCTGTTAATGTTTCATTCATCATTTCCCATTGTATTGTTTATGTACTACATGTATATTTCATGTAAAAAATTTTTTTGTTTTAATACTTCTGGGTGTCAGGAACGGATTAATTGTATTTACATTATTTCTTATGGGGAAAATTGATTCGCAAATTGTAAATTTTGTTTATAGTAGCTCCTCCAGGAACGGATTAATTACGAAAAACGAGGGACCACTGTATTTGAAAATATGTAAAAAAAACGTAGATCTACTTTTGTAGCACTACACATGTGAACGTAGATCTGCTTGGACCGTTTACTGGTTAATAACAACAATATACAGTAACACCTTGACTTACAAACAAGTTGGGGACCTCCTGAATTGTGTATAATATTGTGTATAATTGTGTATAATATTCATAATACAGGAAGTTTTCAATTTACGAACATGTTGGGGACCTGTATTGTGTATAATAATTTTTTTTTTTATTAACATATTGGGGGTCTCCCACCAAGGCAGGGTGGCCACCAAGGCAGGGTGGCCCACCAAGGCAGGGTGGACCACCAAGGCAGGGTGGACCACCAAGGCAGGGTGGACCACCAAGGCAGGGTGGACCACCAAGGCAGGGTGGACCACCAAGGCAGGGTGGCCCACCAAGGCAGGGTGGCCCACCAAGGCAGGGTGGCCCACCAAGGCAGGGTGGCCCACCAAGGCAGGGTGGACCACCAAGGCAGGGTGGACCACCAAGGCAGGGTGGCCCACCAAGGCAGGGTGGACCACCAAGGCAGGGTGGCCCACCAAGGCAGGGTGGTCCACCAAGGCAGGGTGGACCACCAAGGCAGGGTGGACCACCAAGGCAGGGTGGTCCACCAAGGCAGGGTGGACCACCAAGGCAGGGTGGACCACCAAGGCAGGGTGGACCACCAAGGCAGGGTGGACCACCAAGGCAGGGTGGACCACCAAGGCAGGGTGGACCACCAAGGCAGGGTGGTCCACCAAGGCAGGGTGGACCACCAAGGCAGGGTGGTCCACCAAGGCAGGGTGGACCACCAAGGCAGGGTGGACCACCAAGGCAGGGTGGTCCACCAAGGCAGGGTGGTCCACCAAGGCAGGGTGGACCACCAAGGCAGGGTGGACCACCAAGGCAGGGTGGTCCACCAAGGCAGGGTGGCCCACCAAGGCAGGGTGGCCCACCAAGGCAGGGTGGCCCACCAAGGCAGGGTGGCCCACCAAGGCAGGGTGGTCCACCAAGGCAGGGTGGCCCACCAAGGCAGGGTGGCCCACCAAGGCAGGGTGGCCCACCAAGGCAGGGTGGACCACCAAGGCAGGGTGGTCCACCAAGGCAGGGTGGCCCACCAAGGCAGGGTGGCCCACCAAGGCAGGGTGGCCCACCAAGGCAGGGTGGTCCACCAAGGCAGGGTGGCCCACCAAGGCAGGGTGGTCCACCAAGGCAGGGTGGACCACCAAGGCAGGGTGGTCCACCAAGGCAGGGTGGCCCACCAAGGCAGGGTGGCCCACCAAGGCAGGGTGGCCCACCAAGGCAGGGTGGCCCACCAAGGCAGGGTGGTCCACCAAGGCAGGGTGGCCCACCAAGGCAGGGTGGTCCACCAAGGCAGGGTGGCCCACCAAGGCAGGGTGGCCCACCAAGGCAGGGTGGTCCACCAAGGCAGGGTGGTCCACCAAGGCAGGGTGGCCCACCAAGGCAGGGTGGCCCACCAAGGCAGGGTGGTCCACCAAGGCAGGGTGGTCCACCAAGGCAGGGTGGCCCAAAAAAGAAAAACTTTCACCATCATTCACTCCATCACTGTCTTGCCAGAAAGGTGCTTTACACTACAGTTTTTAAACTGCAACATTAACACCCCTCCTTCAGAGTGCAGGCACTGTACTTCCCATCTCCAGGACTCAAGTCCGGCCTGCCGGATAATAGTTTTGGTAATCCTGCACCTCCTCCTAATTTCCAAACTACGAATTCTCTGCATTATATTCACACCACACATTGCCCTCGGACATGACATCTCCACTGCCTCCAACTTTCTCCTTGTTGCAACATTTACAACCCATACATCACACCCATACAAGAGCATTGGTATAACTATACTCTCATACATTCCCCTCTTTGCTTCTTCGGACAAAGTTCTTTGTCTCCACAGACTCCTAAGTGCACCACTCACCCTTTTCCCCTCATCAATTCTATGATTCACCTCATCTTTCATAGACCCATCCGCTGACACATCCACTCCTAAATATCTGAATACATTCACCTCCTCCATACTCTCTCCCTCCAATCTGATATCCAATCTTTCATCACCTAATCTTTTTGTTATCCTCATAACCTTACTCTTTCCTGTATTCACTTTTAATTTTCTTCTTTTACATTCCCTACCAAACTCGTCCACCAACCTCTGCAACTTCTCTTCAGAATCTGCCAAAAGCACAGTGTCATCAGCAAAGAGCAGCTGTGACAACTCCCACTTTATGTGTGATTCTTTATCTTTTAACTCCACGCCTCTTGCCAAGACCCTCGCATTTACTTCTCTTACAACCCCATCTATAAATATATTAAACAACCACGGTGACATCACACATCCTTGTCTAAGGCCTACTTTTACTGGGAAATAATCTCCTTCTCTCCTACATACTCTAACCAGAGCCTCACTATCCTCGTAAAAACTCTTCAATGCTTTCAGTAACCTACCTCCTACACCATACACCTGCAACATCTGCCACATTGCCCCCCTATCCACCCTGTCAAATGCCCTTTCCAAATCCATAAATGCCACAAAAACCTCTTAAATACTGTTTGCCTATATGTTTCACTGTAAACACCTGGTCCACACACCCCCTACCTTTCCTAAAGCCTCCTTGTTCATCTGCTATCCTACTCTCCATCTTACTCCTAATTCTATCAATAATAACTACCATACACTACCAGGTATACTCAACAGACTTATTCCTTATAATTTTTGCATTATCTCTTGTCCCCTTTGTCTTTATACAAAGGAACTATGCATGCTTTCTGCCAATCCCTAGGTACCTTACTTTCTTCTATACATTTATTAAATAAACGCACTAATCACTCCAAAACTATATCCCCACCTGCTTTTAACATTTCTATCTTTATCCCATCAATCCCGGCTGCCTTACCCCTTTCATTCTATTCACTGCCTCATGACCTTCCCTCACACTCATTACTGGCTCTTCCTCACTCCTACAAGATGTTATATCTCCCTGCCCAATGCATGAAATCACAGTTTCCCTATCTTCATCAACATTTAACAACTCTATATAATAATGATATATGTACATGAAAGATACAGAGGATTCTCAACGTGTTTGTAAGTCGAGGACTTACCGTAATAATTTGTTTTCGACACACTGGCCGTCTCCCACTGAGGCATGGTAACCTGAAAAAGAAACACTTTCACTATCATTCACACAATCAGTCTTGCCAGAGGCACACAGGTATGACAGTTGAGATGTCCCTCTAAACAGCCAATATTCCTAATGCCATCTTTTTTTTTTTTTTTTACACAGGGTTTGACAAGGTTAAGGATCCCTAGCTTTATTGACAGCTATTTACAGGTTAAGGATTCCTAACTTTATTGGCAAGCTAAGAGCTGTTACCTACATCAGCTCATTTGAAAGCATTTTTATTGTTATGAAACATACAAGTAGAGAACAGGATGAAGTTGGAGCCATCTGTGGGCCAGCATTTTCATGTGATCAACTGACTTTATCTCGTTGACATCATTATGCTGTGCGAATGTGTTCCATACTCGAGTCATCCTGGGTATGTATGATCTCAGATGGAGTGATGTTCTGGAGAAGGGTACAGCCAGAGTGAAGTTGCTGCTGGCTGCCCGTCTTGTGGCATTAAAGCTTGTATCTCGCTGTCCTTGAAGTGGATCCAAGTGCAGGTACTGTACTTCCCACCTCCAGGACTCAAGTCCAGCTAACCAGTTTCCCTGAATCCCTTCAGCCTAGTTCTATTGCACACTTAATAAATGATAGTGTAAAAATGTTTTTAGGCTTTTATATGTACTATCAAGGGGAAAAAAAAGACTGTGATTCGCTTTACGGCGACAGTCTGGAACCTAACCCGCCGTATTAGTGATGTATGTGTGAATTTATTTCTAAATTTTATTTATGTACTGGTATATACGTATTTGTGCATTGGTATATATTTTGTATGTACTGGTGTATATTTTGTATGTACTGGTGTATATTTTGTATGTACTGGTGTGTATTTTGTATGTACTGGTGTATATTTTGTATGTACTGGTGTATATTTTGTATGTACTGGTGTATATTTTGTATGTACTGGTGTATATTTTGTATGTACTGGTGTATATTTTGTATGTACTGGTGTATATTTTGTATGTACTGGTGTATATTTTGTATGTACTGGTGTATATTTTGTATGTACTGGTGTATATTTTGTATGTACTGGTGTGTATTTTGTATGTACTGGTGTATATTTTGTATGTACTGGTGTATGTTTTGTATGTACTGGTGTATATTTTGTATGTACTGGTGTATATTTTGTATGTACTGGTGTATATTTTGTATGTACTGGTGTATATTTTGTATGTACTGGTGTATATTTTGTATGTACTGGTGTATGTTTTGTATGTACTGGTGTATATTTTGTATGTACTGGTGTATATTTTGTATGTACTGGTGTATATTTTGTGTCTTCCTGTTGGTGGAGAAATTAAGGACATTTAATAGTCTTTTTTTTTTTTTTTTCAGGGATTCACGTATGTAGCACCATCCGTGTTAGAGGAAATGTCGCGTCCCAGTGTGGTGAAGGCACGGTCGCCACGCAAGCCGTATGTGCCCAACTCCGGGGGTCCGTTCTCCCCCAGAGCCTTGCAAAACCCCTTCAACTTTGCCAACGGTGCTGTCAGTGCGTCGTCGTCGACCGGCCAGTACGAGCAGATGGACATTAGCAACTCGGTGCATCCAGTGGCGCACAATCAACAACAGCATCACCACCACCACAGCCAACAGCAGCAGCATCGACAACAACAACAGCCACCGCAACAACAACAACAGTCCTCCTGGAACTGGAAACATTAACCTCATAGCATTTAGGAGATTGTACTTGGTAGCTCCCTTCCATACTGTTGATTTTCCTGCTCACGGCATTGAGCTTGAACCTGCATTACTTCCACGCAGACACATCTGATGCCTCCGGTTCGACCGAAACTCGAAGAGCTGTAAGAGATGTTTAATCGCGAACATTTTCAGTTTATCGTTGCTGGGTCAGTTTTTATGCAAGATGCTTAAAGACCTGTGCAATTCCCTCCGACTAACGGTCAATGGAGAGTATTCTCGAGGCGATAAGGATGATTGTCCTGCAGTATCGCGTAGCAGGAAAAGGTCTTAAAGTATTTTAGTGCCCGTTTTTGCATATTTTGGTTTAGGTTATGTATCGGTAATGTAAGTAACGGCGGGTGCCATCATTAATATTTATCATGGCATCGCTTACAGTTATGTGAATATTTGAGTATTTCATGTACTGGGCCTTATACATACTCTTAAGATAGCCAATACAGTATATATAATGAATTATGTTGGTCGCGTTAGGGTATATTAAAGTTCCTTTTCCTAAACACTTGTATACAGTACTTCAGACAAGACTAATGTTCATTAGGAAGCTTCTTGCTACTAACATTATCTGTCATCTCATTATTGCTACCCTCAGCCTCTAAATTCTCTAGTCTCGTGTTTTTTTCCACATTGCCTCATACTTTTCACATAGCTTCACCTTTATCACAGTCACCCTTTTCACATAGTTTCACCCTTTTCACATAGTTTCACCCTTTTCACATAGCCTCACCCTTTTCACATAATCTCACCCTTTTCACATAGCCTCACCCTTTTCACATAGCCTCACCCTTTTCACATAATCTCACCCTTTTCACATAGTTTCACCCTTTTCACATAGCCTCACCCTTTTCACATAGCCTCACCCTTTTCACATAGCCTCACCCTTTTCACATAGCCTCACCCTTTTCACATAGCCTCACCCTTTTCACATAGTTTCACCCTTTTCACATAGCCTCACCCTTTTCACATAGCCTCACCCTTTTCACATAGCCTCACCCTTTTCACATAGCCTCACCCTTTTCACATAGCCTCACCCTTTTCACATAGTTTCACCCTTTTCACATAGCCTCACCCTTTTCACATAGCCTCACCCTTTTCACATAGTTTCACCCTTTTCACATAGCCTCACCCTTTTCACATAGCCTCACCCTTTTCACATAGCCTCACCCTTTTCACATACTCATTCTCCTCCTCTGCAAAAGTACACGTTTTTCAGCCTGGATCTCTCCGTGATCACCTCAGTGTACCAAGTCACAAGACGCTGTGATGCCACGTTCTGGACTTGTTTTTAATTGTGTCTTCACACTGGCAAATACATACATGTCTTTTATGTATATTTGTAATTGACGTGAAGCGTGAAAATCTGAACACAAAGTATGGCTTTGTAACTATGGTTGTGACGGAGGTGGAAGCCTTAATTTTCCATGTTAAGGCTGGATAAAGCCGTGTTGGTTGAAATGGAACATAAGGCGGTCAGTGGCAAGATGCTCCCCATTTCACTGATTCTCTGGTATTTTGATTCTTCGTTGTTCTCATGGCCAAGTCGTGAGAACAGACGGGCCCCCATGTACAGGCACAGATTACAGACGTCCATTTGTATTAGCGAAGCATTTAGGACCTGATTAGTTTTTCAACTCTGAGCCATCAAACAAATGTGTAAAATGTGATCATCCTTCATGTTATTGGTCTCGAATAATTGTTTCTGAGTTGATAAACCAGGAATTGAATGCATTTGCAAGTTGATAGACCAAGAACTGAACTCGTAAACCGCAAGCACCGGAACAGAACTCGTGGGTTTAAAAATCGGGAACTGAACGTGTAGTTGAAAACTCCAGAACCGAACCTGTTCGTAATCTGAAAACTCCAGAGCTATACTCGTTCGTCAACTTAAAAACCTGGACCCAAACTCGCTTATAAGACGGGAAGCTAATGCATCAACATTTTCTGGTGGTCTGGTACACCGAAGCTGAAGATGATCCAGCATCTTTCTCTCACCTACAACAGAATATATATCCATCAAAACACATTTATATATACTGTATATAAAGAAAAACTTCATTTATGCAATTAGTTCGCTATACCAGTTCATAAATATGGATTTATCATAGGAAATTAGGATTTTTTCCACTAATTGTGCCATTTTAAGTGTTTTTGAATTGGATATTGTACATGATTAGGTCGGCTCTTTGTGTATTTTCCACAGCTACCATTCTGGCTTGCCTTATATGTAGGTGAAGCGCTTGTCTTCTGCCAGTATTGTTATTGGAGAAATAATGAGAATTAACGTATTGTAATATGTAGTGGCTGATGAAGGCTCTATTTCATGGGAACGTTTTTAAATGTAATGGACGGTAGGGGAGGACATGTGTCTGTGAGTGTAGTTCGGAGCTTTGAGGAGTACATGGCTCTCTTGCCATGAGGGTGCAATTACAATGGATGGCAGTAGGGGACATGTCACCATGATTAGATAGAGACTTGGAGGTGTTCATGGCCATCTTGCCATGAGGGTTTAGATACAGTGGGCAGTAGTAGAGGATATGTTGCCATGTTGGAGGTTTTGAGGAGTACATGGCTGTCTTGCCATGAGGGTATAAATACGGTGGACGGCAGTAGAGGACGTGTCGCCATGACTAGTTGGAGACTTTGAGACATTCATGGCCATCTTGCCATGAGGGTTTAAATACAATGGATGGCAGTAGAGGACATGTCGCCATGACCAGATGGAGACTTCGAGGTGTTCATGGCCATCTTGCCATGAGGGATTAATACAATAAGGAGCGACAGAGGACATGTCGCCGTGACTGTATAGTTTGTGGCCTTGACGACCCCATGGTAACCTCGCCATGAGGGTTCGTGTTTCAGCGACGAGACTTTTGGATTCGTCGTTTCGGCGACGCGTTTCTAACTACAGTTTTTTAACAAATTGATTTGTTGTTGTTTGAATGAATGACTATATAATTTTGTAAAAAAAAAATATAATTGTTTTTCGTTGCTTATGTTATAAAAATCTGCATTCCCAATGCAGCAAAAAATTATGCAATTTTTTTAATACTTTGAGCTGAATGCAATTTGTTGTATTATCTAAGACTGAAAAATATATCGTGAAAGGTGAGAAATCATTTGGACTGAAAATCGCTCCTAAAAAAAAAAAAAAATCATTTGGACTGAAAATCGCTCCTAAAAAAAAAAAAAAATCATTTGGACTGAAAATCGCTCCTAAAAAAAAAAAAAAAATCATTTGGACTGAAAATCGCTCCTAAAAAAAAAAAAAATCATTTGGACTGAAAATCGCTCCTAAAAAAAAAAAAAAATCATTTGGACTGAAAATCGCTCCTAAAAAGAAAAAAAATTACCTGTAGAAAAATTTATGTATTTTTTAGATTGATTTTTTACGAGCGATTTGTTAAAAATAAAAAATTTTTTTTTTTTACAAGTGATTTATTTTTTATCGGTGATTTAATTATTTAAAGTGACGAGTCTTAAAGAATAAATTGCTCTTAAAAAAAAATAAATCACTCCTTAAAAAATAAATCTTTCTTAAAACAGAATGATGTATCTTTAAAAATTTATACAATTGAACTGCATAATTGACCCGGCTGGGTTCTGAAGCTGTGGACAATAAATTCCACATGGCTGAAATGCAGTAGGCTCTCTTATGAAGCTCCTTTCTATACAGTAACCTCTAGGCTGTTGTATATACTACTATTTTTTTTCCAAATGCAGGCGAAAAGAATGTCGAATTGAATAGGCCTATTCATGTACTGTTCAATTTTGGCTGTAATTGTTTTCGGTCGCATTTGCGAAAATGGCACACTCTAGAGGAGCTTTTATGAGGTTGACTGTAATGCCATTTTCTGTTAATTTGGTTGAAAATACTCCATTTGGGTTTGACTAGCACATGAAAAGGCCTTCATAGTGCATGCTATTCAATTTTCAATGCCCCTTTTCAATCCTTATGAAAAATGGCACTAGAGGAGCTTAATAAGCGAGGTGACTGTATTTAAATGTCCCTTGGCCATTTATCCTTTAAACAGTTCTTCACCCTACTGAATATTGACAAGTCACTAGGTACACTATCTAAAACACACGTCAGTAGGTCCACCATCTAAAACACACGTCAGTAGGTACACCATCTAAAACACACAAGTCACTAGGTACACCATCTAAAACACACAAGTCACTAGGTACACCATCTAAAACACACAAGTCACTAGGTACACCATCTAAAACACACAAGTCACTAGGTACACCATCTAAAACACACGTCAGTAGGTACACCATCTAAAACACACAAGTCACTAGGTACAATATGCTTCTCATAGAACTTCATAAGATATTACATATTAATATTTTTCTTTTAGTCCAAGTGGTTTTTCAGCGACGATTATTCACAATACTTTTATTCAAAGCAGAAACGACCATGGTTTTTATAGTTTACCCTAAGAAACCCCCGAATTGTCTGGGTTTATTTATTACCGAGGTGTAGAGAGTGTAGATATAGGCATGTATATAAATCTTGTGGTTGGTACTGGACCGTGGATGTCTTGCAATATTCACTTCGATGGCGGCCATGTTGAGGCATGGCCACCGAGGCTAGGCCACCAAGGATAGGCTGCCGAGGCTAGGCCCCGAGGCATGGCCGCTGAGGGCCACGAGTTCACATATTTGATTTTGTAACTTTTATTTCCAGTTTTTGAAAAAAAATCAATGGTTTGAATCCCAAACGAGCGAGGTGGAGCTCGCCCATTGACACCAATGGGATATTTACCACAACGTCGATGGCAAGAGGGGGAGAGGGGGGTTCCCAATGGCCGAGTTGACCGCACTACTCCCCCCACCCCCACTTAGATACCCGGCACCTAGTAAACAGTCAACCCTTCACTGTTGTGGATTTGCAGTTGCGAACGAGCGTTGAATGACTGTTCTTTGCAATTTACCTCTTATAAAGCTTTTCTATTTAGCAAAAAGAATTTTGTAAATGCAATTAAACAAAAGATATCAAAAATAAAATACAGCTTTTCTGCTTAGTGCTAATTTTTCATAAATTAAAAAAATCCAAATAGGACATACAAGGGCCTTCACAATGGACGCTTCTCCATTTTAAATGTACATTTTCAGTTGCATTTGCAAGACATTTCATGATATATATATATATATATATATATATATATATAATATATATTTTATATATAATATATATATATATATATATATATATATATATAATATATATATAAAAAAATATATATATATATATATATACAGTGGAATCTCAAAAATTGAACTTAATCCGTTCCAGGAGCTAGTTCTAAATTCGAAAAGTCTGAAATTCGAAGCAATATTTCTCATAAGAAATAATGGAAATACAATTAATCCGTTCCAGAAACCCAAAAATATTCACACAAAAAATACATTTTATAGAGATTAATTACAGTTTTACATACAACAAATACTATAGTTTTTAATTATGTATAGTAATACAAAATAATATTTTGACTTACCTTTATTGAAGATTGGTGATGGCATCTGGAAGATAGGGAGGAGGAGAGAGGGAGTTGGGGTTAGTGTTTGGAAGGAGAATCCCCCTCCATGAGGACTTCAGGTAAAGCCCTCTCTGGGGTTACTTCCCTTCTCTGTCTTTTAATGCCACTAGGACCAGCTTGAGAGTCACTGGACCCCTGTCTCACAAAATAACTGTCTACAGTCCTCTGTTTCTGTCTCACAAAATAACTGTCTACAGTCCTCTGTTTCTGTCTCACAAAATAACTGTCTACAGTCATCTGTTTCTGTCTGTCTCACAAAATAACTGTCTACAGTCCTCTGTTTCTGTCTCACAAAAATAACTGTCTACAGTCCTCTGTTTCTGTCTCACAAAATAACTGTCTACAGTCCTCTGTTTCTGTCTCACAAAATAACTGTCTACAGTCATCTGTTTCTGTCTCACAAAATAACTGTCTACAGTCCTCTGTTTCTGTCTCACAAAATAACTGTCTACAGTCCTCTGTTTCTGTCTCACAAAATAACTCCACAGTTGTCTGTTTCTGTCTCACAAATAACTGTCTACAGTCCTCTGTTTCTGTCTCACAAAATAACTGTCTACAGTCCTCTGTTTCTGTCTCACAAAATAACTGTCTACAGTCATCTGTTTCTGTCTCACAAAATAACTGTCTACAGTCCTCTGTTTCTGTCTCACAAAATAACTGTCTACAGTCCTCTGTTTCTGTCTCACAAAATAACTCCACAGTCGTCTGTTTCTGTCTCACAAAATAACTGTCTACAGTCCTCTGTTTCTGTCTCACAAAATAACTGTCTACAGTCCTCTGTTTCTGTCTCAAAATAACTCCACAGTCGTCTGTTTCTGTCTCACAAAATAACTGTCTACAGTCCTCTGTTTGTCTCACAAAATAACTGTCTACAGTCCTCTGTTTCTGTCTCACAAAATAACTCCACAGTCGTCTGTTTCTGTCTCACAAAATAACTGTCTACAGTCCTCTGTTTCTGTCTCACAAAATAACTGTCTACAGTCCTCTGTTTCTGTCTCACAAAATAACTCCACAGTTGTCTGTTTCTGTCTCACAAAATAACTGTCTACAGTCCTCTGTTTCTGTCTCACAAAATAACTGTCTACAGTCCTCTGTTTCTGTCTCACAAAATAACTCCACAGTTGTCTGTTTCTGTCTCACAAAATAACTCCACAGTTGTCTGTTTCTGTCTCACAAAATAACTGTCTACAGTCGTCTGTTTCTGTCTCACAAAATAACTGTCTACAGTCGTCTGTTTCTGTCTCACAAAATAACTGTCTACAGTCCTCTGTTTCTGTCTCACAAAATAACTGTCTACAGTCGTCTGTTTCTGTCTCACAAAATAACTGTCCACAGTCGTCTGTTTCTGTCTCACAAAATAACTGTCTACAGTCCTCTGTTTCTGTCTCACAAAATAACTGTCCACAGTCGTCTGTTTCTGTCTCACAAAATAACTGTCCACAGTCGTCTGTTTCTGTCTCACAAAATAACTGTCTACAGTCCTCTGTTTCTGTCTCACAAAATAACTGTCTACAGTCCTCTGTTTCTGTCTCACAAAATAACTGTCCACAGTTGTCTGTTTCTGTCTCACAAAATAACTCCACAGTCGTCTGTTTCTGTCTCACAAAATAACTGTCTACAGTCCTCTGTTTCTGTCTCACAAAATAACTGTCTACAGTCCTCTGTTTCTGTCTCACAAAATAGCTGTCCACATTTGTCTGTTTCTGTCTCACAAAATAACTGTCCACAGTCCTCTGTTTCTGGGGCCTCTTTAACATTTCCCTAAAATGGGACATGGTTCTGTCACTGAACTTGTTGCAAAGATGGCTTGTTTCAGCTTGCTCAGGGTGGTACTTCTGCACAAACATTTGGACATCATTCCATTTGGCACAAATCTCCTTAATCTTTGAAGAAAGCACCTCATCCACTCCCTATATTAACACCTTTCGCAACATCAGCTTCCTTGATTTGTTCTTTCTTTGACAGGATAGAACCGATGGTCGACTTGTTTTTCCCATACATCCTGGCAAGCTCAACAACTTTCACACCACTCTCATACTTCTGTATTATTTCCTTCTTCACATCTATGGTGTTTCTCACTTTCTTTACCACAGGGGTACCACTAGCAAGTTTCTTTGGGCCCATGGCAGCTTATTTCACAGTCCCACAAGCACTAAACACAACGAAATAATCGTAAAATGCGTGAATGAGAGCGCAGGTTAGTGTTCATTCAAGCATAAACAAAGCTAGACTGCTCACGGCACCTGCGCGGGGACGCGGACAGAGCAGGCGGCAGACAGGTCTCGTACCCGGCGGTCCAAAAATAGGGGTGCGTTCGATAATAGGGACACAGTTTGTCCGAAAAAATGGTCCTATTTTCGAAATGTTCGATATGTGATACGTTCGATTTTTGAGGTTCCACTGTATATATATATATATATATGTCGTGCTGAATATGTAAAACTGGTCAATTAGCAAGAACTCATTTAAAATTAAGTCCTTTCTGAAATTTTCTCTTATACGTTTAAAGATATATTTTTTTTTCATTAATGTTGATGTAAAAATTTATAATTTTGCACCAAAAGGAACTTAGAAAACTTACCTAACCTTATTATAACAAGCGCAATTTATTTTAGCCTAACCCAACTAAATATCTTTTAGATTTGTTTACAATAATTTAATACTAAACAAACACAGTGAAATATATTTTTTTCGTTAGGTTCAGAATGATTTTGGCGAAATTATTGCATACACAAATTTTCACTTGTCCTATATGGCAAGATGAGCGTTGCTATTTAAGCCAAGATCGCAAGTTCTGCCTATTCGGCACCACATATATATATATATATATATATATATATATATATATATATATATATTTATATATATATATTATATATATATATTATATATATATATATATATATATATACGTATATATATATAATATAAAATTTTATAAGTGAACTGATTGACTGTTTTCTATACGAAAAAAATTTTGTTGCCAAAACTTTATTTTCTGTTTTTGTTTTTATCCCAAGTTGTTTTGTACCGCCCCTGAGTGTTAGTGTTTTGTTTATAGCTTGTGTTCCCCCTCCCCTCCCCAGGTCAGTCCCCTGGGGTCAGTACCCTCCACCATCCTGTGCTGGGTCACCCATGTGGGTTTACTGTTCTTGTGATAATACAGTCGAAATTTGATATGATGGACTAACAACAGTAATACTACTAATATTAATAATTTCAGCATGATAGTGTTTGTACAAAGTAGGAAAAAAACACTTGTTAGTCTGTTGCATTGAATTTTGACTGTTTTTCTGCGATATTTTTATGTTTTGACTTCGCGAACACTCGGATAATGAGTGTGAAATAAAACGGTAAAAGAAAAGTTGCAGAAAAAGTCGAAATTCGACATAATAAACTAGCAAATGTTTTTTGAGTGTTCGTCAAACCAGAACAGTGGTAAAAATACTCCAGAAAAAACGTAAAACAATTTTTTTTGAGTGCCCATGAAATCAAAAGAATGATAGAAATATCACAGAGAAAATGGTAAAAGAAAAGCTGCAGAAAAAGTCAAAATTCGACATTATAAACTAGCAAGTGTTTTTTGAGTGTCTGTGAAGTCAAAAGAATTCTAGAAATATCTCGGAAAAATACTAAAGTACTCTATTGTATGTACAATTTACAGATATATTGCAATAAATATTGAAATTAAAATGAGTTGAAGGTGTAATTTACCCAGCG